GGTTTTTCGCTTGCTAACCGACACAATTGAAGCTCATCATATGACTAAAAGTTTTCGTGACTTTCACCTGCTAACAATTATTATCCTGTAAAGTGTAAGAGAACAATAGATGACCGCTACAAGATTTTGAGAAAGAAAAGGGTGCTGCCAGACTGAAATTTTAAGAGAGGGCTTAAATACATCTATGACGTATTACAAGTTATTGGCTTCAACGAAAGTTGTTGGCCTCAGTTTTGGTCTCTTATTGCTAGAAAGAAGCGAGGACACTGTCTCTCTCTTTGCTATTTTTTGTAAGCAAGCTTTGATTTCTTAAGGTCGTATTGAAAACGGTAATATAATTTTGTAGAAAGCCGGTTTTGAAAGTAAGGAGGAAAGTATGATAGTTGCCCTTCTCAACTTTTTTAACACTACTAAAGAAGGACGACTTAACCGTCAAAAAATACTTAAAGTCTGACAGAATAGAAGCAACAATAACAGGTTTGGAATATCGCAGTGAATTCTAAACAACATTCTGACATTAAGCCCAAAATATTGCCTGCTGATGCTTATTTATGTATAGAAATTTGAAGGGCAAATTTTAGGATGTCTTTACGTAACCATCTACACCCAAGCATTTTTCCCATCTGATCCCTAACTTATTATCCCTCCTATGACTGTATTAAATTTTTGGTTGACATATATTATTCCATAGAAAAATGTATAGGAGACGCTAGGACAAAGGTAAGTGAATCTTGCAATAATAAACAGTAGAGGCGTGGATAGATGTTTGTTGCTCGCGTACGTGGTGTGAACTTAAAATACATGCAGTTACTTGTGTATGAGCTCTTTCGATTATCTAATTTTACTATTAAACTAATCTGGGCTTAACTCGCGTAAGTGTATCCAGTTACAACAATTAGTTTCTAAGTTAAAAAAGTACCTGCAACAGCAGATTAGAAATAACCCCAAAAAAGTCCGCTCGTCAAATATGTGGTAAAATCGGACTTAAAGTGGTTTAGGTTTACCTTTAACATTATTTTGACAGATTTAAAATAAATGATTGTCGCAATGAGCGTATGCATCTCTAACTCTAACTTTCTCAAGATTGTCGCTGATTGTAAAAGTTAAATATTTACTAAATGTGCTTAAGTTTTGAGCTACTTTCTTACTTTGGAATCTGTTCAAATTGTGCTAAAAATATTTGTACTTCCAATATCTAATTTAATATATACGTTACAAACTCTGACTCTTCTTAGTTATACTTTGACTCATTTGATAATCACGCATGCTCAGTATAGTTTTATTATATGAAAAACTCATTTGTGAATCATTTATCCCAATAAAATCCTGTTGCATTGTGTTTCTGTAATTTTTGTTTTTCATTTTTCTAGCAACACCTAAGTTATGGTTGTATGCTCATTTTGTCATTCTCTATGTGACATAATAAAGACTAAATAAATGATTTCGGAGTCAATAAAAACGGCCTGAGGCGATATCTAATAGTTGTAAGAAATCACAACGTGTGATAGAAATTGGTTTACATTTCAATTATATTAGTTTGGGGAAAAAGAAATCCATTATTTTTATATATACTTCCGGACTTTATTTAACATGCTTCGAATTGTCCGATTTGGGTCAACTATGCACCGTTTTGTTGTATGATTTGTTGCCATTTTAAAGGTAACTTCAAAATGCCTCCCTCATAGAAGTCCTGGTCTCTATTTGCAAAAAACTCTAGTAGTCGATTTTCACAGTCCTCCCTAGATTCCAATTTTTTATCATTAAAAAAATTTTGCAATGCAAGAAAAAGGTGATAATCGCTTGGTGCCAAGCCCGGACTGTATGGCGGATGCATTAAAGCTTTCCAACCAAGCTCCCGAAGTTTCTGGCGAGTCACTGTAGATGTGTGTGGCCTAGCGTTGTCCTGGTGGAACACGACATCTCTCCTGTTGGCCAATTCTGGCCGTTTCTGGTCAATCGCTATCTTCAAATGGTCCAGTTGTTGACAGTAGAGATAAGAATTTAGCGTTTGGCCATATGGAAGCAACTCATAATAAATAATCCCCTTCCAGTCCCACCAAATACATAGCAAAACCTTCCTGGCCGTTAGTCCTGATTTGACCACCGTTTGAGGTGCTTCACCGCTCTTTGACCACGATCGTTTTCGCACAGGGTTATCGTATGTGATCCATTTCTCATCTCCAGTCACCATCCGTTTAAGAAATGGGTTTATCTCATTCCGTTCGACCAAGGCTTCGCAGATGGAAATTCGATCCATCATGTTTTTTTCTGTTAATTGGTGTGGCACCCAAACATCGAGCTTCTTTTTGAATCCAGCTTTGTGTAAATGGTTTAAAACTGTTTTATGGTCGATTTTTAGCTCCTGGGCGATGTTACGACTGCTAACATGCCGGTCAACTTCGATCATTTCTCCGATTTTATCGACATTTTCGACAACCGGCCTACCTGTGCGAGGTGCATCTTTAACATCAAAAATTCGTGAACGGAATCTACGAAACCAAAATTGCACATAATTGGCTGCTACAGTATCGGAACCATAAACACCATTCACAATTTTAGCCGCCTGGCTTGCATTTTCGCCTTTGTCAAAGAAAAACTATGAAATGTACCGAATTTTCTCTTTGTTCACTTCCATTTTTAACACGCTGTAACTCACAACTGAATGCACCAAACAAAAAACAGCAAAAGATTTTTTTCACTGCGAAATGTACAGTATGTAAATGTACAGTATCGGAAATTGTTTGATCGATACTTTACGAGAAATATATCAGTGCAGCCATCTACCGAAAAAATAATGGATTTCTTTTTCCCTAAACTAATATGAGCACTGCCAAAAACAACTGAAGCAAATGAGCGAAAAAAAGGTAGGCGTGATACCGCGATTGATGACGTTCAGTCGCGTATTGGTAAACTCTGCCAGATAAAGTTGGTAACACTGAATTGGAACGTACTACGTTTCCCGTTAGATTATATAGACGTTGGTTGTTCGAATTAGTTTTAATCGATGACTTATTGTCTGCTTAATGATACCCAAAAAATTGGCAGTTTTTTCATATTGCCTTTTTGGCAAGGATTTGAAGAATGACACCAAAATTATCCAACTAGCGATGGACAAAACGTTAAATGAAATATCTTTTAAGTTCTTACAGAATTCTTCACTCGTCTTCCTTTGAATCCAACGTGTTACCGCTAAAGAATATTTGATTCGACTATTTTGAAAGAATTTCTTTTTCTTGATGAACATCTAAAGCAGGAATGGTTAACTTTCTTCATCAGCGGCCCACTTTTAATTTTCAAGGTCCAACTATTGCAAAATGCGACGTTCTGGATCAATTTTCCTTTTTTTAAATCGTTCACTTTATGGCTCAATGAACATCTTTTACTTTTAATACCTGTCTAGTTGAGCCGATAGTGAATGCAGATACAATCCATTTGCAAAATTCCCATGTGCGAGCAAATTGGATTACTTGATACTTAAAACAGAGCGAAGCGAACTCGATCACATCGCGGACTGAATGTGGCCCGCGGGCCTGCGGTTGGCCATGCCTGATCTAAAAGATGTATTAGGCTCATAAGCTTTTTGACTAAAGAATGACTAATCTCCCTTTTTTCATAATTGGAATCATCGGGAATGCTCTTGGGTTAATAGATTAGGAAGTTCAAGAGCAAAATAGAATTTTGTGCTTTAATGTACTCCTTCCTAAAAAGTCTATTGATGTTGGTTTCTCTAAACGGAGGCAGCTTATTATGACTTCATTTTCATTTGCGTTGATGTTCGGGGAATGTACGACGAATGCAATGATGTTTTATTGATAGTTTGATATTTAGAGTGCAGGACAAGTAAATACAGATGTTGACGGTTTAGAAAAAATATTGCCGGGTACTTTTTTGTTCGAATTTTTACAAATCATCCAGCAGTTTCTATTTCACTTAAATGCAAAAGAAGTTGTATTGCGTTTTCCGTAACAGAACAAAGAAATCTCAATACAATATATCAGTTGAAAAAAAGAAAAAAAATATATGTGTAACTCATACCTGGGGTTTAAGGCCCGTCAAACAGAGAGAGATTACAATTGATTTGGCCTTTGGTTCGTGAATTAAGCGAAAGTCAAATAAAGTTGATGAAAAAGATGAAAAATTAAAAATTTAAAAAGATTTTTCTTCTTTTATTTACTATTTAAAAAAATGTTTCGTCATTAAGAAAAAATAATCCATAAAACTATTAAAACAATTGATTACTAAATATTTTCGATTTTTCATTTTAAATGCAAACAAAGCTAAAAACATAAAAGAAAATTTCTTTTGACAATTTTGAATATTTTTTTCCTAAAAATTTTTGATTATTAAATTTAAATAGTAAAATAATAATAGCTGAGAATCTTTTTACTTATGGACAGAGTAATGTTTAATTAATTTACATTTAACGAATCTTTTATGGCAAGATTAAGTTTATAATATTAAAAAATAATAAAATTTTATATTAAATTCTACGCGAGACATTTATATATGTTTTATTCGTTATTTTATCAGAAACAACACACATTCATATGTTTTTTATATAGCACATTATTTAAGTATTTTATTTTTAATCAATTTTTTGTGTTTTTTTTTTTAAAGCCTACATATCATTTCTCGTGTGTAGGTGTATGGGCGTTTATTTTATGCATAAGTTTGGTTTATTGCTTTTATTGCTAAATAAGTTAGGACACGAACCTTGATACAAGGTGTTTTATATACACAATTTTCTTTACTACTTTCATCTCTTCCTACACGCTACACATAACATATGTAAAAATGACTTAAAAAGTTTATAAAAATTTCTTAATAATACTAAAATATAATTAAAGAATCAGTTCTTTTCATTTTCATTTATTTTAAAATAAATTTTTTGTGTTACTATTTCACTGTTTTTACGGCGCTGGTTTTGTTTATTTACGGAAGACTTTTACTTTTTTTGTGGCATTTTTTGCATTTCTTTTGTTGCATTTTTCAAGCGAGCCCTAAACTTGTAATTATAATTTTTCAATACTTTATTCTTTATTCTTAATAAATAGATGGCAGAAATTTCTGATTTACAAAAGCTTATGGTACTAAAGCATTTCATACCCAAAGTTACGTTCTAAGCTAAGTAACTTACCTTTTATACTTATTCTACGTAAACAGTTAACACAGCATCAAATTATTTTACTCTACTCGTATAAGATAATATATTTCTCGTCCATTGTACGCTTTTATACATATTCTTCGGAGGTTTTTTGTCCAGTTTGGCTCATTCTCAACGAGCCAGTTACATGTTGTTCATTAGCTACACTATCTGGCAGTTCAGCGATATCTTTAAAAACGCCAACTAAACTCTCGAAATTCGGACCCCAATTTAAAAGATATTCCCAACCTATCGGTGGAGCTGATGGCGATGCAGCGCTATTGGCTTGACGATACAAACCACCCATGTTAGTTGATAGATCGTCATCACTGGCGACTAGAGTACTTAGGGAACCACGAAATGATGAATCGAAACCATCATAGGAATGAGATGGCATAGGAGGAGCTTTGCCAACGCTGGAAGCAATACCACCGTCACCGCTTAAAGCCCTGCCAACAGCATTGCGCTCATCGGATATGCTTTTACTAGTGGAAAATTTTGTGTCTCCATTAATGCTATTATTATCATACTCGATTTCAGAGCAAGTAAAGCTATCGTTGCCACTTTCGTCGGTCGAAGTTGAGCTACGGGCGTCGACGTCGGCGCTATGGAGACCGCCACCTAAGGACAGATGATGAGGACCTCCTGATACGCGAGGAGCCTCACTGCTTGATGACACGGCATCTAATGTCGAGACTAAGCTTGATGTTCTTGGTCTAGCATTCAATCGCTCAATTTCCTCTGCCGTTAAGCCCATAGAAGTTTGAGGAGCTGTTTGTCCTGATACCACCGGCTTTTGGCGGCTAGCACTGGAACTTTGCCCTGATAGTTGTGACATCACTGGACTATTTAAGCTACGTTCACTATTGCTGTGTAAAGCATCTTTGCCTACACCTCCAGAGCTAGAGGTTGTGGCTAATAAAGCACTTTGCAAGGGTTTTCCCGATATATCGTGCAATGTGAGTATGCGCGGTTGTTGGGAACTAAGTTCTGAACTTGGAGAAAGTCGAGCCAATGGTGTGCTTTGATGCTGCCGCGGTGCACTTGCCGGAGGTGGTGGTTGACTAGCTTGAGGTGGCACACCGCGTGGTACAAATGGCGCTGCAACTCCGTGACGCGGTGAATGTCTGTGTTGCTGCTGCGCTGCTGTAGGTTGATGTTTATGATGAGTATAAGATGCTACAGGCGCTGGGGTAGCCTTATACTTACGCACACCTCCTGCCTCCCTGTAACCCTTATAATGATAGACAATGTCTATATCTGAAGGAGCTATAGAACTTGCGTTCTCCAAATCATAATGTTCAGGATATTCCGATCCCATATCGACAGAACTGGCATGATCATGGGGATGGTGTCCTTGCGTTGGCGGTGGTATGGGTGGATGATGGTCATCTCGAAGGGGAGGGCTTTTGCTAACGACTTCTCGTTCAATAATGTCTGGCCTTTGAGGACGTTGTTGTTGGTGCTCAGTTGGATTAATTTCACGTTCTTTGAATTTTTTTGATATCAATTCCGGACCGACTATGTGGTGGCCCGGCACACTTCTTATTAGATCGCCATTGTCATTATGATATCCAACTTGCACTTCATTGCTGTGGACACCCCGTGTAAGTACATGATCAGCTTGGTTTTGCGATACTCCAGGTCCTCCTAACATGGTAGATGAAGGGTTGTGTTTAATTTTGAATCCGGGAACGCCACAGCTTAAGCCGCCTATTTTCTCCTGCTTGCCCCGAAAACGGTAAATAACGTACGAACCCAAAATAGCCACAACTAATATGACAAAGAATACTATAACTAAGGTAACACCAATGCTAATGGGGTCTGCTACTTGTGCCGCTCCTATACCCAGAGCGCCTACACAGCCAGGAGTAATTTTACCACGTGCAAGTACTTCATGAAAAACGCTCCCGCTGCCATTAAAAGGCTGTATTTCGTTGTTAATGGTGAAATTCGCAATACAACCTTCATAATTAGTGAAAGTATATTCTTGGGTGAAAAATTCTTTTCTTACACCACCCACCGACAACACTGTAAGGTAAGGATCTAGATAATCATGAACGCCTGCAAAATCTAATTCTTCCCCTGCTCGACTACCATCAATGATTATGCGAAAAACACGTCCAGCTGTGTGCAAAGTTATATTATGCCACTTGCCGTCATTCAGATTATCTGTACTAGGTATTGTCATATTAACTATACTGTCGCGAATGGAATAATAATTTAGATGACCTTTTTGCAATTCAAGTGCTGTATAATGATTATTCGTGGCGGCATATAATATTAGACCGCTCTCCTTAAAGGTCCGGAATAATAAACTTAATGTCTTTGGAGGATCACTCATTTGAGCTAATGCCGTAAGATTATCATAGGTAAAAGTAAATCTGCGACGTCTGTTAACATCATACGACCATATATTATTTCCACCATATAAATTATCAAGCAACTGCATGCGACGATGTTTTTCGGATATTTTAAACTCTACAAAGCCTCCTTCGGCGATACTTATAGGATCTAGGGAATTGAAACAATCCGGAGACAGTAATGCTGCACCACATTCGCACATAGCAGAATGCCAGCGGTCCATGCATATTCCAAAATTTCCACACAATGATAAATTGGGATCATTGTGAAAACTCTGGGAACATGGACCCCCATTCGCAGTTCGTGTGCACGTTGCTGAAATGGCGCGTTGTTTTAATGGTTGACTCATATTTAAAAGTCGACCATTTATAGAAATGCTGTGTATGCAACCTACGAAATCATCGGTATGCAGTTGCCCGGGACGTTCTAAGACAGGATCTGCTGAGGAAAGGCCACCAAGGAGTAAAAGTTGTTTGTTAAAATTTAGAGTTCTGGAATAAAAGTTGAAATAAATGTCTTTTTATTTATACTCCAATTTCAATAATTTACCCTATTGGTCCAACATCATCAGAGTAACAGCTTGCTTCACCGGGCCGGCATTCTTCACAGATATCTCCGTTTTCTGTACATTTGGCTACAGCTAAGGACATCACTCTACCGTTGCGAGTAGCGGTTATCTTATACCAATGACCATCAGCCAAGTTAATAGGAGAACTTGCACCTACGATTACCGTGGTCATTGCAGTTCTGGCGCCCCCAAATGAGAAAAAAGCTTTTCCTCTAACCACTTCAACTGCTACAAAATCGGACCGTCCTCCCGACTGTATACCATAATTGTACAACAATAATCCATCCGGTTTAGTTGTGGCAAATATAATAGAAATATCGTTTGTGGCTGTATCCAGAGAAGGAAAAGCCATGTAGGAGAGCTCCCCAAAGCCGTAAGTCGTTTTCTCACAATGACGACCATATCGACCTTCACTACAACTGCATTTGTAGCCAGTTTTAAGTGCCATACATAAGCCGCCGTGTAGGCAAGGATTTGGACGGCAAGAGTCAGCCACGTGTTCACATAGATTGCCGCGGTAACCAGGCCGACAAAGGCAAAAGAAGGTAGCCCCATCAGGGCTGGACCGACAGGAGCCTCCGTTGCTGCAAGAATTAATCAAGCACACGTCTCCTCTCTCCTGTTGACAATATTTGCCCTCTCTATTAGGTGGACAAACACACTGAAATTCGAAATTTATTCGCCTGCATTGAGCATTACTATGACAGGGATTAGGAGTGCAGGGATCTTGACGTTTGTCGCATTGTTGCCCAGTAAATCCTTCCGGACATTTGCACAAGAAGTCATGAGATACCATGGGCCCACTAAATATTAAAGACTCACTATCGACGATATTAAGCGATTGCATATCATGTAAGGTTCTTGAAGACGCGCATAGACCTCCATTCTCACATGTGCCTGAAGAAGAACAGGGGTCATATCCGATTATAATAGGTTCCGATGTCTTTAAAAGCCTTTGCATGGCACCATGGTTTTTGGCAAGCCTTTCAACAACGTAATGCGGTAAACGGTAACCGTGATTTGACATTTTCACGGCAACCATAATTTCCAAATCCACAGATTTCAATGTCGTTATATTACGAACACTGTACAGAAGCAAGTCATCGTTGGTTTCTATCGATGTCTTTATTATCTCCATGAAATTGCGATAATGAGTGGAGAGAAATTCTTCGGGCGTCATATTTCGTATGAGGATCGTTATTGAATTCGCGATCGTATTGTTGTTGAAGGTTTGGAAACCTAGTGTAACCGTAGAAATTACATCGTCATGTTTACCATCATTACCTGACACGGAATAGGAATAGCCGCCATTCATAACAGTCTGATATGTAGTGTGCAATTCACAAGCATTGGGTATGATTAGTAAGCCTGCCGGGCTGGATTGAGTGCTGGGAATGATACGACATCTATAGTTGCCACTAATATCTTCGTCATTGGGGTGAACATCTGCTATTTTCCCTATCGGGACATCATCGTTAAATACATTCAGTATGATATGTACTGTACGTGGTGAAGAAGGACTATCGTTTCGATCTAAAACCTTTATAATTAGTTTGTGTTGCCCTCGTTGCTTAGGCTGACCGTTATCTTCCACATCAATTATGGCCTCTAAAATAGGAGTCAATTCACGATCAAAGGTTCGGGTAGATTTTACTAAGCCTGTATGCTGATCTACAGAAACTGAGGACTTGTGTCTACCACCGATTAAGTGATAAGTGAATGGACCTCCGTTTGGAGGTAGATCGGGATCGGATGCGCTTAAAGTCATGATAGTAGTACCAGCTGGTTCATTTTCGTAAATGTAGCCTATTAGACCATTTTCACTGAATGTAGGACCGTTATCATTAACATCTAAAAGTGTAATTTTGACAGTTGTGGTACCAGTCTGCGGAGGTGAACCGGTGTCTATTGCACCTATTATTAAATTATATTCTGGTACGTTTTCTCGGTCGAGTTTTCGACCTGTTTCTATCTCGCCGCTTTGAGGATCAATTTTAAAGGTTTGGTTGAGATTGCCGTTAATTATAGAATAGCTGAATTGGTTGTTCTGAGGTCGAACATCTTTGTCTACAGCCTTTACAGTAACAACTTTAGTTCCAGAGACCACACTTTCAGATATTTTCGCGGAATATAAAGACTTCAAAAATTCTGGGGGATCATTACCGTCCTGAATTGAAATTATAACTTGGGCCTCATCAGTGTCATTGCCACGTATACTACCATAGTTCTTCGCCAAAACAGTGAGGACAGCTCTACTTTGAGTTTCCCTGTCTAGGTGGCGTGATACATATATAAAACCGGTGGAGGGGTTAATGGAGAAGCCTTTATCGTTGCTAGAGCCTACAAGCAGGTAATAAACATTGCCGTCTTCTCCCGCATCTTTATCTGTGGCCTGAATCGACCCAACCGGTGTGCCCACGTCAGCTGATTCGGATATATCGAAATGGAAGACGGGTTGTATAAATTGAGGATAAAATTCGTTAACTCCAGTTATATGAACAGTTACAATAGTCGTACTTTGCATAGGAGAATCTGGGTTTGCGGCCATAATTTGCAAAGAATACTCGTGCCTCTCTTCGTAATCGAAACTGACCGATGAGTATATTATACCCGAGTTTATTGTAAACAAACCTTTCCCAGATCCACTGACAATAGAGTAACGTATGATCGCATTTTTTGGTGAATCTCTATCACTAGCTGAAGCTTTAAAGATAGGCGTATGTGGCGGCCTATTTTCAGGTATAAAAGCGTGATATTGACTTTGATTAAATAACGGTGGGTTATCATTGATATCCGTCAAAATAACAGTTAACATAGCTATTGTACTCTTGGGTTTGAATCCTAAATCCTCCACCGAAATATTCAAATGATATTCTTGTATTAAATCGTAGTCCAAAGGTTGAAGTATAGTAATGGCACCGGTTTCAACGTTTACCTTGAATTCGGAACGTTCATTACCTCCAGAAATGGAATATCGTAACATACCATTAGGTCCTTCATCCCGGTCTGAAGCGCTAACTGTCAAAATAGTGGAACCGATAGGTTCATTCTCAGGCACAATAACTTGGTAACTTAAAGCAGTGAATTCCGGAGTAAATTTGTTTTCTCCAGTGACAATAATACTAACAAGCGTTTGATCCACTTTAGAAGGCACGCCGTGATCGCTAGCTGTAACGATCAAGGTGAATAAAGTGTTTGGTTGCACTTCCAAAGATCGAGTAAGTGTTATCCAACCATCCATTTTATTAATGGCAAAGTAACCTGAGCCGTTACCTCTGGTAAGTGAATACTCAATCTCGGCATTTACACCAGAGTCGAGAGAATCCAGAGCATGCACTTTTGCTACTCTCTGACCCAAACGAGCATGTTCGGGTACAGGAGACAGGTATTGAGATTTTTCGAATTTCGGAGGATGATTATTGGCGTCAACAATATTAACGTTAACTATGCATTCTGAATATAATGGTGGCTTGCCATTGTCAGTAGCTATTACCACCATCGTATAAATGTTTTCAGGAGAGGTTTCAAACTGCGAATTCTTGTATTTGATAGAACGTTTGCTGAAGATCTCTCCTGAAGCTGGATCTACTGCAAACAAATCGGAAGGATACTGCAACGAATATGAGATTACTGAATTAGGACCATGCTTATCACGATCAATGGCCGTGACATGCCCTACGAAGGCGACCGAGCGCTGAAGTTCGGGAAAATTGAAGTTATACAGAGAACTTTCAAATTCAGGAGCATTATCATTTTGATCTTGAATAGTTATAGTAATAGGAGTATCCGAACGCCAGGCGCCATCAGAAGCGGTGATTTTCAAAATATATTCATCTTGTTCCTCGCGATCAATATGGCCAGCAACTGTAACGTTGCCGCTAATAGCGTCCAATTTAAATTTTTCACCTGGATTTTCTGTCAAGCTATACGTTGCATTCGCATTTTCACCTTCATCTAAATCAATTGAAGTCACTTGGATAACAAAACTGCCTATCTCAGCGTTCTCTGTAACATTTACCGAGAAGAGACGGGTAAATTTCGGAGGATTGTCATTTTTATCAAGCAGACTGAGTAGAACTGTTGCTGAACCGGTCAACTGAGGCATGCCTTGATCCACTGCTTCAATTAAAAGTTCGTAACGCTCCAATTCCTCTCTATCTAAACGCAAATTTGTGAATACTTCGCCAGAATCAGCATCAATTTCAAAAGTGCCTTCGTAATCATCTACTAAACGATAGGTAATTTCGGCGTTATCACCTGAATCATGATCGTGAGCTTTCATCTTAACTACAGTCTGAGGAGGCGATTCTTCTTCAATAATTTCAACGTTGTATACAAGTTTTTCCATAACTGGTGGATTATCATTGGCATCTGTCACGTTAATAGATAATAACATAACACTACGTAGAGGTGTGCGATCTGAATCACACGCCTCCAACCAGATATCATATTGAGGTGACAATTCGTAGTCAAGACCATCTTTTCCTATGCTTACCACACCGGTGCTTTGATCAACGCGTACTGCTTCTCGCAAATTACCGCCAGCTATGGAATACCGTATGTTAGAAGCCGATCCTTTTTTAGGCGAAGTCGCTATTATGGTGGTTATAACTTTTCCTTCCGGTACATCTTCGGAAAGTAAAAACTGGGTATTGGCTACGTAACTAAAGCTAGGAAATGCTGTCAAAGGCTTAAGAGATATGCTCAAGTCAGCTACGGAAGATTTGGAGGGTAAACCTTGATCGTAAGCGTGTATAACTATATTGTAGACAGTTGACAATTGGGATTTTAGGGAATGTTTGGTTTTAATTACTCCTGTTTTATGGTTAATAGTGAAAAGTTCAGCGTCTTTTCCGCTGATATTGTACATGACAAAAGCATTCAAGCCTTCATCCATATCTTCAGCTTGAGCGCCAAACACGAATTCGCCACTAACACTTTTGTCGGGTATATTTACGTTAAAATTGGAAGCTTCAAAGCGTGGCATATTATCATTAGCATCTCTTATATTAATTGTCAAATTAACCGCCGTAGCATGAGGTTCAGTAGTTGAACTATCTTGAGCCATTAAAGTGAGAAAATACAAGGCAGTCTCTTCGCGATCTAAAACGGCGGCTGTTGTTATTTCACCAGTTTCTGAATTACAATGAAAACGCTCCAAGTTTTCACCCAATAAAGTAAAGCGCAATTTAGCATTTAATCCCGTATCACGATCAGTTGCTTTCGGCTGCAGGACTCTGGTACCGATCGGCAAATTTTCTGCTACATTTGTATGATATGATTGGCGTTCAAATTCAGGACGATGATCGTTCATATCTTGTACTACGACCTTAACAATGCCACTACCGGTAAGCGGTGGAGAACCTGAAAAGGACAAAATTTAGTAAAATGATAAGTAAGTCAGACGAAATTTTAAACTTTCCAATAAACACAGAAAAATCAATTCAGATTGCATATGAACAGTTTGTTTTACTTCAGAATTGCTTTATTATTCGAAAAAATAAAGATTTCGATTTTTAAACCAAGTCTCTAAATACAAATAATGAATAAAAAAACAGCCAGAAATAAATAAATTTGAATAAATTTAAAAATTTTTTCTTGGATTTCTGGTTTTAAATCTCTGAAATATAAAAGTACGCTGACAACCAAAACTTATTGTATATGGTCAATATCTAAGATAAACCGAAGTGACATGAACATGGGTTACAAAAATCATCTCTTGTCCAAGCAATTTTTAACAAGCTTAAGTAGAAAATCAACAAAAAAACAACAATAAAATTGGAAATAATACACAATAATACAGAAATAATAGCACACATTTCTGATAACAAGGACTTAGGTCTGCTGAAGAAGCGGACTATTGCCATCGTTTGACGAAGTATACAAATGTATGTGTGAAATGCGAAAAATGCAAAAGAAAATCAATTTATAAAACAAACTAAACTAAGCGGGAACAAGTAAAAAACTTATCGACACTTTATAACGAATATTTGATACCCAACATCACTCAAATACATGTATCAAAATAGGATTGTATTTCAAGAACTGTAAGGGCTAAGGAAAGTCAACTATATATTTATAAAGACAATCATTTTTTTCGAAAATACTTCGAAGGGAAAAAGTCGAAACTCGGGAAATGTTTATATTTCAAAACTTCAGATCGATTTATATTATAAGTTTCCAGCTCAGTTCCGCACGTATTCTGCGCCTTACAAACTATCATATCTAGAATTCAATCAAGACTAAAACGATTTGCCTCGACTTTTGTGACGCTTCCTTTCTTTCTTTCAGTTAATACGTGTTCACATATTGTAATTACTGGAACTAAGTATTATTTATTTATCTGCTAAGTGTTTCCTTTTCTAAAGACCTGGAAGTTTCCCTACATGTTCAAAGAAATAATGACACGATAAAATCTTCTCAAGTTTTTCAGGAATATGAAGCTTTTCAAACGGCTTAGAAGTCTTTGTAGATGGGATCTTCAAAAAGGTTGTCATAAGCAGAGAAGTGAAGGCCGCGGTTCGTAAGCTGCTACCATGCAACTACCGAATGCATTTGTAATTTGAAAGTTACACCTGTGTGGGAAGAAAAAAAAACGTAGTTTTTGTTTGTGCGATTTTCACAAACAATATAAAACATACAGATTAATGTTCTCCATTTTGTTTCCGCCCGGACTTGGTATAAGCTTTCCGGGTATATAAAATCCAAATTAATTCTTATAGAAAAATGCGTCGTCTTCTTTTTCGTGTCTTCTATTTTGGGACGCTGTGAAAAAATGTACTATTTTTGAAAGTTGCACACCCTTCCATCATTACTTTCGTATTTCATTTGTAAATTTTTACTTCAGTTGTCCGTTGTTGGTTGATACGAATGAAATGTTAGTTTCAACATACCCTTTCAGGCTGTGTAGATGATTATTTGCAAAAAGAAGTAAAAGGGAACAATAATAATAAACGCAAAAATAGAATTGAAGAGAACTATTGTCTAGAACTATCAGTTTTAAAATCTACATATAAACATAAGTACGAACACCATGTGTGCGCATATGTATACATGCATGTTATGTGCATTATTATAAGTTTGTATAAGTGAATATGTATACAGTATTTGACGTATGCTTAGTGTGCGTTAAGAAATGTATGTGGGTGCGCGCTTATGTGACTGCAATGCAATGTGCAATTCAAACAACAATGGATTTTATGCGTTCTAATTTAATGAACACAAATTGAAATATAGCCATAAAAGGATATGCCACACAAATGCATGCGTATGCATGCACTAAAATATATATAGAATTACTGGGAAGATGAAATACTAGCACTTCATTAAACTAAACTTAATTATGTGTTTAACCGAGATTTCAACTAATATATTCATAATAGTTATATGTTCATGCGTCATGTTGCTTTCTTTTTTGTCCAATATTAACGAGAACATATTTTGCATATGAGAAATATCCCAGTCTAAAGATTCTAATTAATTCTCATGTTACTGCTAGACAATAAAATGCAATGCGTGTGCACTCCTTTTCTTTCGCTTTATATTCACATATATGCAAAGATGCTTAAGCCACCTGGATGTAGTTATACATTGTATTATTTTGAGAAAAGTTCACAAGCAACAACCAAAAAAAAAATTATATGTGACTTATAGTGAATTTTTTTGGTATACTCTTCATTACTTTGTACGGAGACAATCTTTATTATTGTCTCGCTTATTCTTTCGTTTATGGATACATGGTGCATTAGATAGCTTAGAGAATATTGCATTTTTCGGATTTCACAGTCCATTCGCAATTCACATTTCTAATAACTATTCGCGATCGATTAGGTCCATCCCTAACATTAGGAGCAATCTAGAACGATAGATAAGTTCGCCTTATGTCTTATTTATAATAAATTTGCTCCTTTTTCTTTGCGCGGACGCACATAAAGATCTTACTATAGCTACAAATCCAATGTCTTTCAGATAGTCCAAATCTTTAAAAGAAATTTGTCAAAATTTAACGACTTCGTTAATAGCGGGGACATGTATATTTTTTGGAACCAGCTACAAATGATCTACGTTAGATAAATCGTATGCACTTATTTAGTGATGTGTTATGCCATTTTATACCATAAATGAAATAGAAAATATAAATATTATATAATAAATATAACCATATCTTGCTGTGAAATGATAGGGTTCCATGATTTATCTTAGTCCATTCCACATTTTGTGGGTTCTTCCTGCTTCCGCAACGGCAGGAATATTTATAGTAGAACCTTAAAAACGGGATAGTACCTATTCCTACGGATGTGTGGCAAGTCATTCCATACTTATGTAACGCCAAGCAAAAATGTTTTTTTACTTTTAACCATAAAGAAAAAGATAAACTCAACAAAATGGTTTTTCCTTCAGATAAAGTCGACCGCTGTAATCGCAACTTTAACAGAGACGAAAGCCGATATAGGCAGATCGCTGTCTATGTGCCGAGACAAAGAGCGCTTCAGGCTGATTTTCTATTTCCGCGTATTTTTCCGCCCATCTTAAAAACATGCAATAAATCTAACCTCATTTTTAATAGGTAATAAAAATATATATTCCTTGCGATAGCTTTTGAATATTCGCAATCTTAATGTCTGCATAATTAGGGAATAAGGTCACTGTTAATTTTTTTCAAAATTAATTTGTTTTTATCAGCTCAAAAAATCCCTTAGATAGTTAAGAGTGATAGAAAAAATAATTGTGGACGTAGCAAGGTTTTAGAAAGTCAAAAAATTTGCGCTTCAAGCTTTAAATGCTTTTTTCTCGAAATACGATATTTGAAGACTGCCCACACGAAAGTTTCTACAAATTTTTTTCACCCCACTTTGCATTTAGAATAGCATTCTCCACAGAAATACACAGTATTTTTCCGGTAATTCAATCTATACCCTTTTTCATTAATAAAAGGCAGTCTGTTTTTGATGAAAAGTTGACCCATTCACTCAAATACTTGCCGATTACATAACAGGCAATATATTCAAAAAATTCCATTTCTTTAGATATAGCAATGTGGACTGAAAGGGCTGTTTTTTCTTTTTTGGAGTCAGATTTCTAAACAGAAACGTATGGATAGTAAAACTCCTTAAATTGAAGCTGCCTCAGGATATTGGCTCCGATGTTGTTTTTTAATCTTTTTTCAAACCATTTTTTTTTTTCCGATCCTTTAAAGTAACGAACTCCCCGAGAAGTATTATTTTCTTATCTTTTCGTGCATGGCAAAAAAATAGTCAAAAAACCTCTGTTGTTATTGAGGCCTTACTCGTAAAATATGCTTTACACTAACTTGTGTCATTTTTGTCTTGAATCTTTCACGTATCCTGACTTGTGTACATTATAATGTTCATCTCTTATGCTAATCACATACGCATTTCTGAGCCTTACAAATGGAATGAGAAATCTAATAGACCTCTACATTATTTCGTCAGTGGATATGTAAAAAAAGAAAAAAATAGAGAAAAAGAAAAAACCTAATATTACTATTACTGCAGCAGCAAAAAGTTAGGAGCAATTTATGTAACTTATGAAATTGTGTTACACGTGCGCTTTTCAGTTTAAGTAAAGGACGTTTTGTACGTTTTTTCTTTTTGGTTTACTAGAGCATTTAGAAAACGGCTTTCCGTTATATTATGGTATACGAACACGGTGACAAACATAAACAAACAAACGAACAAACAAATAAAAAGTATCCATATTTTCTTTTATTTTGTGGTTTTTGTTTTTAGTTTTGTTGTCTCTGTATTTTTGTCATGTTTTGCAATTAAATGAAATATGTTTCCAAAGGTTGTTATTGTTGTTGTTTTTGTTTTTGTCGCTGCAATTGTTATTGCAGTTGTTGCACTTTATCATGTTAAAGTTGTTAATGTGGTTGCAAATGTAGCAAATTTTTGCTACTCTCGCTGACATTGTTGTTGTTGTTGTTGTTGTTGTCTTAGCATGATAATCGTAACAATTGGCAATTGTTGTAACATTGCACCTTTTCTTTCTAAAAACAGACCACCAAAGTATATATTTTGTTGCGATTGTATATACATATTTATATATGTACATGTATATATATATTTAAGTCCATTTGTAATCCTCCCGTTTGTATTTTAGCTTGCGCTATTTCTCGACTCTTGCTGCAATGGCTGCTGCAGCAGCTTTTGCTCTCGTTGCTGTATATAGCATTATTTTGCATGTGCGTTAAGTTATAATAATAACTGATTGTGTTGCTGTTCTATTTTTTTTTTTATTTAGCATTTTATTTATATATATATATATATATATACATATATACATATATATCGATGCATACATAAGCATAAGGAAACTATGAAAATTATATAGCTGGGGGTAAG